CCGTCCTTCTATTTCGAAATTTCCGCATGTACTTATCTATACGCGTGCGAAATATTGGTAGAACTACTGCGGTAGTACACATGTACAACAAATCGATATTTTTTGAACCTTTAACTGTTATGACTTTTCAGAAAAGTTTCATAAAAGTTATAACTTGTTGAGAAAATTCACAACATTTCTTAATTTTCACAACTCGTATGAATTTTCATAACATGATTGTTACTTTTCACAACAGCAGTTATGAAATCACGTATGTTATCCACGTACTACCGTGACTAGACCCAAAAACCCAAAATTTGAATATTGGGGTGGCGTTTGGAGTCGTTTAAAACGTCTTGAAGTCCTCTGTCCATTTCCGTAAGAAGCTGTTCAATATTTGAGCTCGGACGGACAAAATTTGGACCCGCCCAAAATCGCACTAGCCGGCCCTAGCCGGCCGGTTCCGGGAAGCGCCTCGCTCCCCTCCTGCCCGGCCGGCTCTCGCCCGCCCGCCCGACCCGACGGCCCCGCCGCGCAGGTAGCCAGCTCCTGCAGCGGATGCGGACAGCGTCGGCGCCGATCATTTAGGCCCCTCTACACCCTGGCGAAAACGGTAACTCTAGTTTCATGTTTCTTCAGAGTTTTCAGAGCGTTTCCAGCCAGTTTCATCGGCGTAAACGGCGTGAAAACTCTTAATGATGAAGAAGAAACCGGGATATGGCTGTTTCTACAGAGTTTTCAATAACCCTGTAGAAACACGGTGCTGTAACTCGCCGGAAACAGCCGAGAAACATGTGGTACCGAGTTATTTAGGAGTTTCCAGAAACACGGTTATAACTGTCACCAGAGTGAGTTTCCAAACGGTTTCCACAGCGTTACGAAAAACGGTTTGCCCGTGGTTTCTGACAAACGGTCTGCAAACTCTAAGAAAAGTAGGTACAGTGTGTTTTTGTGTGGTTTCCGTTAACATGGTGATAACCTCATACGGCATAAGTTTATAAACGGTTTCTTCAAAGTTATGAGAAACTTACCCAGCCAAAAATGATAATTTCTTTGACGTCGATTCGACCTCGACACTTCGATTTGAGTGGCAAAATTGCGTTTTTCGAGCATCGTCGACGTCGATTCGACTGTACTGTACTGGAAACATATTACAGCTGGGTTTTGAAACATCCCGAACAATTAGTCCTCAATAAGCGGAAATCTCCCTGAAAAGCCTTCATACAATTTTCCAGAAAACTGTGATATCTTCAGAAACTGCGTGAAATCCTAAACTGTTAACACAAATGTTCAACTGTTCACTTGCAAGTGTACACCTCCCTGTAACACACATTTAAGTGCTCAACTTACTAGTTATACACTTGTAAGTGTGCAAGTCAGCAGTTGTACACTTTTAAGTGTTCAACAAAGGGCGCGTTAGACAGGACTGTTAAACATGTACGGGTGTAACTGATAAGTTGCACACATACAAGTGTATAACTAGCGATTTGAGCACTTGGATCTGGGAAACAGGAATTTG